GAGACTTCCGCCATGATGGAGGTGGAGACGCCGTGCTTTCTCACACAAACAAATTTAGAGACAACAAAATATTAGCAACAGAAAACACACCCAGAACACAGAAAATTGAACGTTTCAGAAGTCTGATAACAACAAATTCTTCAGCCAGACCGGTAAGAAGGGTGAAGCCAGCAGCTGGCTGAGCGGGGTTGCACAAGAAAACGGTCAGAAGAAATCAGGCGCGCGGATCCCAGACGAGGAGGTGCAACAGGCGGACCCAGTGAGCGACAGGCAGACCCAGTAAGGGTGCAGGGCCGTGGGTTGACTGTGGTTGTGCATTCGTGCGCAGAGAGACCGGCGAGGGAGTGGGCAGTGAGACAGAACTGAGCAGGCCCCAGCTGCGGGAGGCAGCAAAGGGTACCGCCATTTCACCGCTCTGACCCTCCCCCACATACAGTGTCACAACGCAGTGGCCTGGGCGGCCCCACCCTGGTGAACATCTAAGACTCTGCTCCTCATACTTAATGGGCACGAACAGACCAAAAATGGCTCAAGAAGATCTCAAAGCCCCAGAGCCCATAACTCTAAGCGACCAAGAAATTGCCAAACTTTCAGATGCACACTTCAAAACACTGGTGATCAGGATCCTCACAGAACTGGTTGATTTTAGTCACAAATTAGAGGAACACATGAAGGCTAAACTAATTGAAATGAAGGGAATTGCACAGGAACCCAATAGTGATGAAAAGGAGACTGGGACTCAAATCAAGGGAGCGAACCAGAAGGAAGGAAAAAATGACCAAACAGGAAAATACGAAGAAACGAGAATTCAAAAAAATGAGGAGACTTAGGAACCTCCAGGACATCTTTAAATGCTCCAACATCCGAATTATAGGGGTACCAGAAGGGTAAGAAGAAGAGCAACAACTGGAAAACTCATCTGAACAAATAATAAGGGAGAATTTCCCCAATCTGGCAAAGAAAATAGACTTCCAGGAAATCCAGGAAGCTCAGAGTCCCAAAGAAGTTGGACCCAAGAAGGAACACACCAAGGCACATCATCATTACATTAGCCAAGATTAAAATGAAGGAGAGAATCCTAGAAGCAGCAAGAGATAAGGGGACTGTCACCTACAAAGGAGTTCCCATCAGACTGTCAGCAGATTTCTCAAAAGAGACCTTACAGGCAAGAAGGGGCTGGAAAGAAGTATTCCAAGTCATGAAATCCAAAGACCTACAACCAAGATTGCTCTATCCAGCAAAACTTTCATTTAGAATGGAAGGACAGATAAAGTGCTTCTCAGATAAGATCAAATTCAAGGAGTTCATCATCACCAAGCCATTATTTCATGAAATGTTAAAGGGACTTACCTAAGAAAAATAAGTTAAAAAACATGAACAGTGAAAGGACAGCAAACTCACAGTTATTAACAACCACACCTAAAACAAAAGCAAACTAAAAGGACAGCTAGATCAGGAGCAGAAACATAGAAATGAAGATCTCATGGAGGGTTAGCAACAGGGGAGTGGGAGGAGGAGAAGGGGGGAGAAGGTACAGAGAATAAGTACCATAGATGGTAGGTAGAAAATAGATAGAGGAGCAAGAATAGTATGGGAAATATAGAATCTAAAGAACTTGAGACCCGTGGTCATAAACTAAAGGGGGGAATGGTGGGGGTGGGGGGTGCAGGGTGGAGGGGAATGAAGGGGGGGAATAGAACAACTGTAATGGCATAATCAATAAATATATATATACATATATATATATACATAAAAATAGAAAGGAAGGCAAGAATAGTATGGGAAATGTAGAAGCTAAAGAACTTATGACACATGGACATGAACTAAAGGGGGAGAATGTGGGTGGGAGAGGGTGTGCAGGGTGGAGGGGAGTGAAAGGGTAAGAATGGGACTACTGTAATAGTATAATCAATAAAATATATTTTTTAAAAGTTTAAAAAGCTTTTCTCAACAACAAAAATGATCAGTAATTCCCATTATTATCCATACCCCCCCATATCCATCCATTATTAAGGTCTCCATTTTTTTACTTAAGGTTTTAGTAGCTATTTCCCTCCATGCATTTGGGTTACAGAATGTCATTAATTAGTTCTTTTATTCTTGCTGCATTTTTAAATGATATATCTTCCATAAAGAAATTTTCCTTGAAAATGTTTTGGCAATCCTGAAATAGAATTGGTACAGTAAAGGCATATGGATGCTTGATTCCATTCTGTAATTTACTGCCAAATAAATGACTTGCACCCTTCATATTCTAGAGGGGGACCCAAAGAGATTGTTTTTAATTGTGATTGTTGTTGTTTGGTGTCATTATGCATTCATACTTCTAACATAATTGAGGCAATTCAATTCACTGCAGTTAACATTCATTTTGATGCTCAAATGACCTCTTCTTTGGCCAGTGCGAGCTCTTTTAAATCAGTTCACAAAACTTTTGAGCACTCATGTAGTCTCTGATACTTCCCTTGCTTTCTAGAAAGACAAGGTGTCCCATACTCACCTTGTACACTTTTGACTTAAGACCAAGGATCAGCCATTTTCTTTTTTCCCAAAAAGGGGGTCCTGGATTTTTTTTAGTGAGAAATGGAATTTAGACTCCAGAGTTTGAAGGCTCATAGGTACTGAGTTGGTTGCTGTTTGTAGGCTTTTTTAATGGACAGAGCTAAGAAATGCTTTTAAAAAGAGGGAGAGAGACACAATTCAACCTGACTCATGCTGATATTTCAAACTCAAGTTGGGGAATCAGTATTTGAATATTTTTTCTCTGATTTTAAAAAATCTCGGTTCTTTGTATCATACTCTTTTGCTCTATTCTTCAATATACAAATGGTTCCCAACAACAATAACAATATTTTTACTAAAAATATGACTACAAAAAGTAGGTTAAGATCTGTTTGTAATTCTTTTCATCCTTAGAATATACCCACAAGTCATATAATCAATGTATGTGTTCTTTTATTCCACATATATATTTTTCTTATTGTAATTGTTTAAGTACAGTTTTCTGCCTGTTACCCCCATTCCAGCCCACCCCCGATGCCGTCCCCACCTGCCTCCCGTTTCCACCCCACCTTGTTATTGTTTATGTGTCCTTTATACTTGTCCTGCAAACCCTTCCAATTTTCCCCTGAAATTCCCTCTTCTCTCTCCTCTGGTCACTGTCAGCCTGTTCTCAATTTCAGTGTCTTTGGTCATAATTTTGCTTGCTTGTATGTTTTGTTGTTTAGGATCATATGGTATTTGTCTTTCACTGCCTGGCTTATTTCACTTAGCATAATGCTGTCCAGTTACATCCATGCTATGGCAAAGGGTAGGAGCTCCTTTCTGCTGCATAGAATTCCATGGTGTAAATGTATCATTGTTTTTTGACCCATTCATTTATTGATGTTCACCTAGGTTGCTTCTAGCACTTGGCTATTGTAAATTGTGCTGCTATGAACACTGGGGTGCATAGGTTCTTTTGGATTGGTGTTTTAGGGTTCTTAGGATACAATTCCAGCAGTGAAATTGCTGGGTCAAAAGGCAGATCCATTTTTATTTTTCTGAGAAAATTCCATACTGTTTTCCACAGTGGTTGTACCAGTCTGCAATCCCACCAACAATGGATTAGGGTCCACTCTTCTCCACAACCTCTCCAACACTATTTGTTTGTAGATTTCTTTATGATAGCCATTCTGACTGGTGTAAAGCGATATCTCAATTATGGTGTTAATTTGCATCTTTCAAAGAGATATTGAGCATCTTTTCATATGTCTCTGGATCTTCTGTATGTCCTCCTTGGAAAAGTGTCTGTTCAAGTCCTTTGCCCATTTTTTTTTTAAAGATTTTATTTACTTATCTTTAGATGGGAAGGGAAGGAGAAAGGGAGAGAATATCAATGTATGGTTGCCTTTTGTGGGTTCCCTGCTGGGAACTGGCCTGCAACCGAGGCATGTGCCCTGACTGGGAATCAAACCGCGATCCTCTGGTTCGCAGGCCCACGCTCAATCCACTGAGCTACACCAGCCAGGGCTCAAGTCCTTTGCCCATTTTTTTAATTGGGTTGCTTGTCTTTTCAGAGTGGAGTTGTGTGAGTTCTTTATATATTTTGGAGATCAAACCCTTGTCTGAGGTGTCACTGGAAAATATGTTTTCCCATACAGTTGGTCCTTTTTCCATTTTAATACTGTTTTCTTTAGCCATGCAGAGGTTTCTTATTTTGATGAGATCCCATTTGTTTCTTTCTTCCTTTATGTCCCTTGCTCTAGGGGACATATAAGTGAAAATATTATCTGAGATTTTCCTGCCTATGTTTTCCTCTAGGACTTTAATGGTGTTACAACTTATATTTAAATCTTTTATCCACCTTGAATTTATTTTGGTGTATGGTGTAAGTTGGTGCTCAAGTTTCATTTTTTTTCCATGTAGCTGTCCAGCTGTCCCAACACCATTTGTTAAAGAGACAATTATTAGTCCATTTTATGTTGCTGCCCCCTTTTTCTAATATTATTGACTGTAGAGAATTGGGTTTATTTCTGGGCTCTCTGTTCTGTTCCATTGGTCTATGTGCCTATTTTTATGCCCATACCAGGCTGTTTCGATTACAGTGGCCTTGTAATACAGTTTGGTAACAGGTATTGTGATCCCTCCTACTTTGCTCTTCAAAGTATGTCTTTTAAAGTAATTTAAAATACTTCCAATTTGACTAATCCACCAATATAAAAGATAGGTTCATTTGTTTCATTTTGTTTTCAAAATTTGTGGGTTTTCCACTTTGATTTAATAATATATAAAATGTTTATATGGTTCCAAAATCAAAACTACTAAAACAGGTCTATTTTCAGAAAATGTAAGCTTTTCTAGCTTATTTCCATCATCCCCTGGTAGGTAACATTTTTTGGTTTTGGTTTATTTTTCCCTTCCCTTCCTAATATAAGCTAATATATATTCATATATACCATAGACAAAAGGCAGAACAATCTATGCATTAAGGAAAAATCCATTTTAAGAAGTATACTTACTTCAATATATAGGCTTTTGGGAGGTTTCATATCCTGTGTAATATCTAAACCTTCATCTCCTCCCAATGATCTCATATAAGTAGCAAGGGACTTTTTATAATGATTGAACCATTCCATCTGCAAACATAAAGATGGTCATTTGACAAAGTTTTAAGAAAACAAACTTACAGAAATTGTATACTTATCTTTTGTAAAACAGCATATGTTCCCACATGGACCACTGTTATGACCATTTATTCATTTAAACTATAGGCATAGTTCATTTTAATGCACTTTAAAAACATTGTGATTTTATAAATTAAAGGTTTGTGGCAACCCTGCGTGGAAAAAGTTTATTGGCACTATTTTCCCAAAAGCATTTTCTGTGTCACAGTTTGGTAATTCTCATAGTATTTTAAACTTTTTCATTATTATGTTCATTATGGTGATTTATGATGAGTGATCTTTGTTATTATTACTGTTACTCTTTGAGGATGCTATGAACCATGCCCATAAAAGGATGGCAAACTTAACTGATCAATGTGTGTGTGTTCTGACTGCTCCACCAATCTGCTGTTCCCCTGTCTCCCTCCCCTTTACGCCTCCATATTTCCTGAAACAACAATATTCAAATTAGGACAATTAATAATCCTACAATAGCCTCTAAGTGTTCAAGTGAGTGTTCGTCTTTCACTTTAAATCAGAAAGCAAAAAAATATTAAGCTCATTAAGGAAGGCATATCAAAAGCTGAAATAGGCCCGGGCTGGTGTGGCTCAGTGGACTGAGTGCTGGCCTGCAAAACCTGAGGGTTGCCAGTTGGATTCCCAGTCAGGTCACCAGCAGAGGGCATGCGAGAGACAAACACACACTGATGTTTCTTTTCCTCTCTTTCTCCCTTCCCCTGTGTACTAATATAAATAAATAAATAAATCTTTAAAAAAAAAAAAAAAGAAGGCTGAAATAGGATGAAAGCTAGGTCTTTTGTACCAGTTAGCTAAGCTGTGAATGCAAAGAAAAAGTTCTTAAAGGCAATTAAAAGTGCTACTCCAATCAACAGTGAATCATAAGAAAGTGAAACAGCCTAATAATTAACATGGAGAAAGTTTTAGTGGTCTGGATAGATCAACTAGCTACAATATTCCCTTAAGCCAAAGCATATCCAGAATAAGTCCATAACTCTCTTCAATTCCGTGAAGGTTGACAGAGGTAAGGAAGCTACAGAAGAAAAGTTTGAAGCTAAGAGAAGTTGTTAGTTCATAAGGTTTTAAGGAAAAAGCTGTCTCTATAACATAAAAGTGCAAGGTGAAGCAGCAAGTGCTCATGTAGCTACAGCAAGTTATCCAGGTCTAGCAAAGAGAATTAACAAAGGTGGCTATGCTAAACAGATTTTCAATGTGGGCAAAACAGCCTTGTATGGGAAAATGATGCTATCTAGGACTTTCATAGGCAGAGAGAACTCAATGCCTGGCTTTTAAGCTTCAAAGGACAGCTTCACTCTTTTTAGGGGCTAAAGCTGATGGTGACTGAGTTGAAGACAATACTCATTTACCATTCCAAAAACCCTAGGGCCCTTAAGAATTATACTAAATCTACTCTGCCTGTGCTGTATAAATGGAACAATAAAGCCTGGATGACAACACATTTGTTTAAAACATGGCTTACTGGATATTTTAAGCTCACTGTGGAGACCTATTGCTCAGAAAAAAAGGATTGCTTTCAAACTATTTCTGCTTATTGACAATGGCAATGTATACATTTATGCAAGGGTTCTCATACAGATTTACAAGTTTGATGTTCTTTTCATGCCTATTAACACAATATCAGTTCTGTAGCCCATGGATCAAAAGCTCTCATATATAATGTGCACCCACGTATTTGGTCCAAACTTTCAGGAAAAATATATTTTATATTAATGTTTTAGTTCAATTATGTATTTATTTATATTTAGAAACAAAACCAATTATCGTATTCCAGGTTATTATTTTGCACACAAATATTGGTATTGCTTTCTAGAGTTATACTTTTAATGAATAAGTGTAATTAAAAGAATTAAAAACATTAACTTCTGGCCAAGATGGAAGCATAGGTGGAAACACTGTTCCTCCTCGCACAACCAAGTTTAAAGACAACAAAGTTTTAGTAACAAAAACACAGCCAAAACACAGAGAATTGAATTGTACGGAAGTCCAACAACAACAAACCCGTTCATCCAGACCATTCATCCAGATCAGTAAGAGGGGCAGAGTCCGCAGTGGAGCGAGGTCAGGCAGGAAAGATGAACCTGACCGACCCAGGAGCTCAGGAGCGCAGGCAGTGGTTGGCATATCCAAGGCGTGGTGGGGTGGCAACTGGTGGACCCAGTGAGGGCGCAAGGCAGCTAGCTGGCCTCAGTCACACATTCGCACGCAGATAAACCAAGCGAAGGAGCGAGCAGTGAGACAGACCACACAGGCTAGGGCCCCAAGACGAGATTTAGAGCTTGAAAGCACCAATTGAAAAGACTTTCGGGGTCAAAGTGCTGGGAAAAGCTCCGAGGCTCACAGACAGTTCGTTGGAGAGACTCACAGGGTCCAGGAGGGTGTACAAGCCCATACACCTGGGAACCAGCACCAGAAGGGCCCAATTTGCTTGTGGGAAGCAGCAGAAGGGACAGAAATCTGAGAGAGAGCAGAACAAACGCCATTGCCCCTCTCTGACCCCGCTCCCACATACAGCGTCACAAACCAGCAACTGAGTTGCTCCACCCTGGTGAACAACTAAACCCCCACCCCTCATACAGAAGAGGTATGAACAGACCAAAACATTACGGCTCAAGAACAGCTCACAGCCCCAGAGCCAATAAATTTAAGCGACCAAGAGATAGCTAACCTTTCAGATGCACAGTTCAAAACATTGCTGATCAGGATGCTCACAGAATTGGCTGATTTTCGTCACAAATTAGAGGAAAATATGAAGGCTAAACTAATTGAAATGAAGGGAAATGCACAGGAAAACATTAGTGATGGAAAGCAAACTGGGACTCAGATCAAGGGAGTGGACCAGAGGAAGAAAAAAATGACCAAACAGAAAAGAATGAAGAAACAAGAATTCAAAAAAATGAGGAGAGGCTTAGGAACCTCCAGGACATCTTTAAACATTCCAACATCCGAATTATAGGGGTACCAGAAGGGGAAGAAGAACAGCAACAAGTGGAAAATTTATTTGAACAAATAATAAAGGAGAACTTCCCCAATCTGGCAAAGGCAATAGATTTTCAGGAAAGCTCAGACAGTCCCAAAGAAGTTAGACCCAAGGAAGAACACACCAAGGCACATCATAATTACATTAGCCAAGATTAAAATGAAGGAGAGAATCCTAGAAGCAGCAAGAGATAAGGGGACAGTCGCCTACAAAGGAGTTCCCATTAGACTGTCAGTGGATTTCTCAAAAGAGATCTTGCAGGCAAGAAGGGGCTGGAAAGAAGTACTCCAAGTCATAAAAGGCAAGGATCTGCATCCAAGATTGCTCTATCCAGCAAAACTTTCATTTAGAATGGAAGGGCAGATAAAGTGCTTCTCAGATAAGGTCAAATTCAAGGAGTTCATCATCACCAAGCTCTTATTATATGAAATGTTAAAGGGACTTACCTAAGAAAAAGAAGATAAAAAAGATGAACAGTGAAAGGACAGCTAACTCAGAGTTATTAACAACCACACCTAAAACAAAAGTAATCTAAGAGGGCAGCTAGATCAAGAGTGGAACCATAGAAATGGAGATCACATGCAGGGTTAGCAACAGGGGAGTGGGAGGAGGAGGAGGGGGGAGAAGGTACAGAGAATATATAGCATAGATGGTAGGTAGAAAATAGACATAGAGGAGGGCAAGAATAGTATGGGAAATATAGGATCTAAAGAACTTGTGACACATGGACATAAACGAAAGGGGGAATGGTGGGGGAGGGGGTGTGCAGGGTGGAGGGGAATGAAGGGGGGAATAGGACAACTGTAATGGCATAATCAATAAAATATATTTTGAAAAAAAGAATTAAAAACATTTATATAGTCCTGGCTGGTGTGGCTCAGTGGACTGAGCACTGGCCTACAAACCAAAGGGTTACTTGTGTGTTTCCCGATCGGGGCACATGCCTGGCTTGTGGGCCAGGTCCCCAGTAGGGGACATATGAGAGGCACACATTGATGTTTCTTTCCCTCTCTTTATCCCTCCCCCCTCTCTAGAAATAAATAAATTTTATAAAATTTATATAGGTACAAAATTAGTACTACCCATGTATAATACACATCCTTATTTTTCCCTCAAAAATTTGGGCAAATAGTATGCATTATACATGGCAAAATATGGTAATTTTGTAAGGCTCTAGCTGCTATAGATAGTGATTACTCTGATGGATTTGGGCAAAGAAAATTGAAAACCGGTAATATGGCAGCAGAGTAGGAGGACATACTACACACCTCCTCCCAGAACCAAATTGGAAATAAAACTAAAGAGAGGTCTAGACACCTGAAATACACCAAAGACTACCTGAAAGGGAGGCTTTTAACCAAGGATGGGGGAAAAAATACCATAACCAGTAGGAAGGTTGAGGTCATTCAAAGGTACTGACCCTTAGGGCAGTGGGCTGAGGTGGTGGTGCAGCTATGAAAGCTCCCCCTTGAAAGGAGAGGGTTGGGGAACATGGATCAGGGTCCCCAACAGATCACCAGTGCTGGAGAGTAAGCAAATCACGTGGCACCCCATGGTGAAGGGGCCACAAGATTTGCCTCTGTTGAGCAGCTGGTGAGGGACCAGAATAGCTGAAGACAAAACCACTATTTTTTTTTCTTTCTTAATTTTTAAAGGGGCCAAACACAGGTCTTGTGTTTGCAACCACTCACCTTGGACCCAGTGAGGAGAGGCAGCAGGGACTGCAGTCTCGAAAGTAGAGTGTGGGATACACAGGGGAGCAATGTGGGGGAGAGACTATAGGGCTTTCTGTGCCAGGATATACCTGAATTCTGCAGCAGCCATCTTGCTTGAGAAGGAGGAGCCCCTCCCAGGGTGATAGCCCTATGGGATATTGCTCACCCCACCCTCCTTCTGCAATCCTGCTCTCTATACCCTGAAACTTTTTTCCCCTATTATATAGTTTGGTTTTTTGCTT